ATACATGTACTTTACGTGTACGGTATCGGTGCCAATAAAATCAAAAGCTAAAACTTCGCATTGCAAGAATATTGATTTTAAACGTACCAACAGCAGCGATGTCAATCATTAATAATTAGCGATTGATAGCTAAGCCAAAATTACCCATAACCGACTCGTTTATATGAGACTAAAGTAGCCCTGTTTGAGTTTTATTGGTCCGTCTTGTAATTTTTAACATGAATATTCGATGCGAAGGCAAATAATCTAATTTCTTCTTCTACCAAAGTAAAATTGTCGTAAATATTCTTATGTGGGCTTATCTGAAAGACCCTGAAAGGCCGCAGTGAGCCTATTCTCAAAGAGAAATCCAAGTTGGCTATGCCGCTGAAGATACTAAACAACTTTAGTGCCGTAATGCTTTATTTTATGATTTGTCAATCTTGCGAACTACTCATTCTGGACGAAGCATTACCATTAATAGGAGCATATTTCAATTGTCATTAGAGATTGTATTTGTGGATACGGGGCCTTGGTGAGTTTTGTACCTCTATAAAGGAAAACTTGGAACTTAACCATCACGGGTTACTCCCTGCGTAGATCATCGTTAACATTCTACATCTCAGTTATGAGTGGCACTGTGAGAGTAAAGTGTCTTGCCCAAGAACACAATGCAATGCCCCAGCCAGGTCTTGGACCTAGAGAGCGCACTAACCATCAGGCCACCGCGTCTCGAGTCACTGGAAATCGTTCATCAATATCTTTGCAAGACGAAGAGAGTTTTGACAGACCTGTTTGCGATTTAGATGAGCACTCGATCGAAGAGTCAGACTCGCAGGATTTAAAGGTTAGAAAAAGTAATTCAAGAATATTTATTTTTTATTTTTATTTTTTTCGTGAAACGTGATCGTCTCGATTTTTGCGTGAACGTGAAAGATTTTTTGGACATTATTCGGATGCGTGAAGAGGCCGTGTACTTTTGAGTAAATGAGTTTCTAAAAGGGTATAGGGGACCCCTGTATATGCTATACATGCCGTGAAGTCAAGACATTTGAGCTGTCAAAGTAAAATATTTTGAAATCTCCATAGGACTTCAACCGTTCCTCCATGTACTCAGTTCTCGGCCCATTGAGATTATTTTTGCATTCAATAAGTTTCAGAGTGCACAGTTTTTTTTTTATCACTTCAGAGAAGTAAACAGTGGAGAAATGTGATCGCAGTGAAAAACTACAGGCTATGAGGGAGATATGCACAACACGCAGTGGAGCTGTACTGACTGACAAAAAAAGGAGACAGATAACATTCAACTAGTGCTGTAGCTCCAAACCTAAACTTACCAGTTTCACATTGCTCACCAGTATACCCGGGTAGGCAAGAGCACGAGAAGGTGTTAACGCCATCTACACAGGCTGCACCATTATCACATTTGTGGTTAAAGCAGTCATCAATGTCTTTAAAAGAAAATAATGATCTGAACGGAGCACGTCTTTTTATAAACATTCAAGCAGTAAGGTAATTTTCTTTCATTGCGCTGATCATAGACAGCGCTTTAGAGATAAAGAAAGCATAAGCTAACTTTAAATCATCAAACGAGACATATTTCAGCACATGGTCAATATTTTTCTTTGGAATTTCACGATTCAACAACAAAAACAAAAAATTGAGGAAGTTTACCATGAACTGAAAACATATTGTTTTCTTTTATTTCTCAAAATCAAAAAAAAAATTAATCAGAAAAAAATCAAGACACTTAAAACTCACTTGTTTCACATTGATCTCCAGTGAATCCTGCCATACAGTTACATGAATAATTTTTCACCCCATCGACACAAGATCCGTCATTTCTGCACGTGTGATTAACACAGTCATCAATGTCTGTGAAAAAAAATTGCGATGAAAACAAAAAATGTCTACGCTGCCTTACGAGTTAAGTTGGTCTCTTTTTTCTGTGCTTTTATGTTGTTATTAGTTTCATTTTATTGCGGTTATCACCGTTATTATTAAATGTACGTACTATTCTCAGACACCGCACATCATATATTTCGGTTTCTTGAGACAAGGCTTTGTTCTAAAATAGGTTATCAAAAGTTTTGATTGCGTCCCTCAAAATGTGTACTCGCTCTGATTGGTCGATTTTTCTGTCTATTATTCCCAGCAAAACCCCCTGATACATATCGTAAGATACAGAGCTTTGTTCCCAACCCTTGGATTGATCTGCGAGCAGGCCTTTATTATTTACGCTTGGACACGAACTATTCTATGCCTGCCTGGATAAGCATTTGCCATCTGCGGGTCAAAGGAATATCTTGTAAATTTATGAGAAAATCAAAATAAAAGTAATATAATAATGTTCATACAGCCTAGATCTTGAGCTGGGTCATCAAGAGATATTGATTTAACTAAAATACCTTCACAAATTTTCCCATCTCCTGTCAATCCAGGAGGACATGGACCACAGATGATAGAATATTTATTTTCGTAGCAAGTGACTTTCGGGTAACAGGAATCTCTGGCGCACTTTTCGATAGGTATATCACAGTTTCTACCAGTGAAGCCAGCATAACAGTTACAGGTGTAATTATTTACGAGATCAACACATTTTCCTAAAAAGTGAACGAAAAAGTTAATGGCGTTGAATTTAAACGGATGAATATTTACAAAAACTGCGAAGCTGATTTACGTGCATAAGGTGGCTATCATTCTAACAAAAGAGGGAATGAATATGAAAGCGATATTCGCAGTAATGAACACTACTTAAGCAGTGTAGTGAAAATAAGGCCCGCAATAAAATTCAGGCCTGTACGGAATTTGAACCGTGGATCTCTGCGATACCGGTGCAGTGCTCTACCAACTGAGCTTATAAACCCGTGAAGCAATGGGTCAATGTTAGAGTCATGTTAATTTCTGCGAAGATAACGGTCTCATATACATATCTTTAACTCTCATGTATGATTTTCACACGTTTACAATCACTGAAAGAGGGAATCGAAATACACAAGTGTGATGACAAAATAAGTGGCCAAAAATAAGTGTCTGGCATCCGGTTATCCTCATAACACACATGCACGAATCTAATTTTCATATATTGCTTTAGAGCTTTATATTTTATCACTTTATGGGTATAATTATCACACCCTTTACCTCTACTTATGCCTGGTTTGGGCATGCAAACTGTTATCAAGTCGAAATGGATATTTACCATTCCCGCACGTCAGTTGTAGACAGTCGTTTATGTTCTCTTCGCATTTCGGTCCGGTGAAGCCAGCCGTGCAGTGGCAGGTAAAGTTATTTATCTGGTCCACACATGTTCCTAAAGCATGATTTGTTAAACATTATGGCTATGACAATAATGACAATAATCTTTCACCTAATCGTTAACTTTCGCATTTTGTAGTGATTGCAGCATTATGAATAATCTTCGGTCCGCGCAATTTATAACAACATCCTGCAATGATATAATAATCTTGCAACACAGTAACATTCCACAGTTTGGGTATCCCACTTGAGAATAGAGATTTGTGAAGCATTAGCTTTGGCGTTTTAATGAAGGAAGGGACAGATTACTTAAAAAATCACTACAAGAATGATAGGTCTCAGGTAACATATATCGGCTACATCGGAGAAGAGAAATGCTTGCCACTACCTGTGAAAAAGCATTTATTATTCAAGGGTGTTTTGCATATTTTAATAAAGAAAAAACAAACATTTACGTTGCTAATAACAACCTGTACTTTGTGTTTTTTATCACACATATTTAACATAAGCATAGCATGAGATTCCAGTACCGTGGATGCACGGAGTAGACTTGCATTCGTCAATATTTACATCACAGTCATGACCGGTGAAACCATCGTTGCATTGGCAAGTGTACCCATTAAGAGCATCATGACATATTCCTAACAAAAAGGTTTCAAAAATAACGGTTAAAAAATTTTAAAAAAGAATTGATAGAAACAGAAAAAAAAAGGATGAAAATAGATGAACGGAAAGGCAAATCGATCAATAATTGTTAATGGGCTGGTTAAGGAAGGGGTGAAAGAGTATATAAGTGGGTGGAGGAGTGTTGGAGTGCAGGATTGAAGGAATATAGATGTGCAAGAGCGCGACTGTGAAGAAGTGCAGTGGGTAAGGTGAGCTGGAAAGCGGAAAGTA